AAAAAAAACACATCATGGTAAAATCAATCGCTCCGCTCAGAATCTAAAAATCACCCTGTATGATAAATCTAAGTTATAATTTGTACATCCATTGTTATTCTTAATTATTTTATCCTAAATAATTTCTCGATTATCCGTTAATTTTAAACCCATAAATTTGATCTCATGTGAATTTTTTTATATTATTTATTAATAATAATTTTTTTATTAGCATGTGAACATTTAATACGACATATGCTAGTCATTGAACCTGAAAAGAGACTTAGTCTGAAACAAATAGAGTCTCATAAATGGATTAAACAGGTACTAAAGAATGTATTTTATTTATATTCCAATAATAGCTTTTACATCTTGATTTTAATGTTGAAATTATATTATACTTTTAGTTGTCTGAACCAATTACTAAAAGATTAATAGTAGATGTAAACCCAATGATGAATACAGCTGTTATAGAACTTATGTTACAGTTACCGGGTCTAGATAAAGATATGATTGTTAATGTAAGTTTTAATACCTATATTTATTTATTTGAAGTATATTCTCAAGCCATTTAAGGTTTATATATTAGATATATATAAATTTATAACTAGACTTATTCACTTCAGTATGAGTAATCCTCRTTTTGTATTTTGCCAACTTAATTATGCATTATTTTAATGAATTCAACAATGTTTGTTATACTTTAAACTTGGTACATTTTAACATTATTTTTTTTAATATGATCAAGGAAAGCGCTATCTTGAAAATAAAATTTGTTTTAAGATTTATTAATAAAAAAAATATTTGATTTAATTTCCATACTTTTTACTATAAAAAACCCATATTTATATATATTGTTAACCACGGAGATACAAGGGTGGTCTGCGACTTTTGTGACGTTTTTTATCATAGATATAAAGTATAGGTAAACTTGTTTATAGTACTATTGTATACTATAGTATATTATACTTTATATTTGTGTTCTGTATACTGATGGACAGCATCTATGTGGTATTGTGTTGTTTTGCAATTATGTAGATTTTCTAACACAAAATGTTAAAAATTAAATTAAAACTATAAACAAGATGTACTAAAACGTTAACTCGTATTGATAATACGATATAATGTGGTATGATTGAAGTATTTACTCTCTATGAAACACTTCATGGTTTATGCTATCCACATGTACACTGAGCAGCGCAGTAGTGGTTCATCACAGAAACCATAGTATAAGTCTTTTACTATACTAAAGGGAATAAGAAGTATTCTTAATGATAAGACTGCGCATATCATAATTTATGTATGAAATCAACAATAAACTCAATGTGACGTCATATGTATACATTTAAACTAAACAATGCAATATGCATAAAACAAGGCGATGTACGATGTATACATGCGTTAACTAGGATGAAAACACGGTGTGTGTTGGGCTTATATCTTATATCTTTTATATTGGGAGACATTTCTTTTTTGATCCGTTTATTCGTATTAATGTAAAAGGTTTATCTTAATGTACAATAGTGAATAGACGGACCATAGTGGTAGTTATTGCGATAATCGTAGGTAACGCTGATCGTGGTGACCCGCACTTCTGCGCATGTATGTTCGACCACACTTTGTTAAAAACARAGAACATCATAAATACGAAATTATTGTATCATATTATCATGATTTATGAATATTTCTTACAAGTTTCAAACGAATTAAGAATTATTAATAACCATAAATAAGTATAAGGTATTAGTACCTTGTTTAGTTTTTGATTTCAACGTTTTCGTTTTATTGACTGTTATACATAAACATAACGCAATTTTCCTGTCACCACACTACTCAAAACCATAGTCTGCCGTGCTCCGTATATTAGTATAAGGTCTATTGATAAGTATTACCACAGAATTGGTGAAAATGTCCATTATTCACTCAGTTCACTCTAAATGTTTGCATTAGCTCTTATGGGAAGTACGGTGTTTTAAGCTAAAGCGCCATCAGCATCAGTGTTAACTAAAGTACAATAAAAAGTTTTATATACTTAAAAAATGATTTGCTTACAAACAAACCAAGAAAAAATCTATAGTTTAAAGTGGTTGTATGCAGCATGAATCAGTAAATTGTGTTTCATTTTCCATATTGATTGCATTTTAGATCTTATCATGTTTTTTTAGAGATTGTCCATTCTGATTTCACCTATTCTGTAGATTTAAATTTAAAAGTTGTTATTTTTAATACTTCTATTGGATGCTCTGTTTTGTTGTATATATTCTGATATCTTATATTTCGGGTATTTTCCATAGACCTTATATTTATTGAATATACTAGTATGCAGAATATGGGCGTAGTTCCAGTGMCTCCTTACGCGAGTGCTTTGTTCGAGTGTTAACATATTACTCAAAACATGCACAGCAGATGCTGTATAAACTGTAAATATATATATGTATCATTGGAGAACAACTTGTACAGGATCGTACTTCCCAATTCTACCGGCCTTATATGTTCCRTCAACTAGTATCTACTATATCGTACAAAAAAAAAATGCTCGTATCTTTGTTAGCAAAATCAAAACCTTATAATTGCACTACTATATAATTATAATTATGAGCATACTAATGTTAAATTTGTRATTTGATATTTCCCATAGTCCTCAATCACCATAAAATATTTCATTATTCTTCATCTATATAATAGATAATAAGTAAAAATTAAACACAATATGATTAATCATATACATAATTAACAAACAGTAATAAAGCTGTTTGATCAATTTACTTACTGTAGCCATACAAATATATTTTCCTTGATTTACAAACTTCATAATGATTAAAAATTTTTGTTATTAGTCAGTTCAGCAAAAGAAATTTGATCATGTCAGCGCAATTTACCATTTACTGGTTGACAAATTAGATACAACTGTTAATCAAAGAAACACTACTAATCAATCATTAGTTGATGAAACTAGTAAGTTTGCATTTATTCATGTCTTGAAAAATAAAATAATATGTATAAATATTATATTTCTAGATATTAATGGATCTGTTAACATCAATTCAAATCTAATTGAAAATTTACCATTATATTCAATGTCACTTTATGCTCAAGACGGTTCAATTTATGATAGTCAGCAATTAGAAAAGGTATTTTTTTWAACTTTGTTTGCTATTTAATATGATATAATTTCTATGGTTACAATAAATTTACAGTATGGTGATGTTGATGTTGGAGAATCTACTAGTTCAAATAAAACTCAAGATAATCATCCAGTAACTACCCGTCGCCATACTGTTGGTCCAGGAAATGGCTTAATGACTCAAGTAAAAAGTTACTTTTATTATTTAATTGATGTATCTAAATAACCTTTTTGTTCTATGATGTTTATTTGATTAGTTAAGTATCAATATTTTTGAACATTCGGATAATCTTGTGTATTCTTAGTAATATATAAAGCCAATTTTAGATTTTAAGCATAGCGATGAATGTATTGATATTACAATGATGAGTGTTTTTTTGTATAGTTTTATTTTATTTTTTTTGGCTGTGCACACCATAAATTGTYAAAATATGCTTTGATTTTCAACTTCAGTAGCTTTACTGGTTGGAAAATGAATCTAGTTTTTGTATTGAGGACATAAAATTTTGTAACTCCCAGCAGTTTTCAAAAGTACCGGGAAAAACAAAAAAAAAAAATAAAGGAAAAATTTGAGTATTTGCGCAAAATCAATTTTTGAGAAAATCTATTTTAGAAATTGGTGTAACTGAAAAAATTATTGTCAATACATGAAATTTTCAAAATATTTCAATTATTTTTAAGTTATTTATTGACTTTATTTCAAATCTCAAGCTGTTTATAGACATTTGAAAGTTTCAATCTTTTTATTTTTTTTTTTTATTCATGACAATAAAATTTTATTCGTCGGGTAAAAAAGCTTCAGAATTTAATTCAAGGCTCTTAATATATTGTTTCTCAACGGTAGTTAAAAAATATTAAAAATACATAGTCACAATTGTTTTAATAAGCATTAAAGTTTGAATTTTTACAAAAGACGTAAAAATCATGAAAATTTRCAAAATAAAATTATTTTGAATTAGAATTTTATACAAATTTATTTTTTTTAATCTAAGGTTTAAAAATTCAATACAAGATTCTTCATGAGTTTGTCTACTTTTGTCTAATAAAAAATGACTGCCGGAAAGTCAAATTAAATTTTTATGAGCATTTGAATTACAACATTAGATATTCTTTCAATTTTTCTTATACTGATATTCTTATTTTGTTGTTATTCAAAAACAAATAGTTTTAGAAATTTGAAATTTGTACTATATATTTATTTTATCAATTCCTATACTGAATAACATTTTCAATATATTTCAAAAATGTTTGTGTTATTTATAGATTTTTAAAATTCTTTTTTTTTAGTTTTTCATTCTATAATTATCAATAAAATGTTATTCATTGGGTCAAATATTTGAAAATTTAATACAAGATTTGCCATAAGATTATATAATAGCAGTTGGAAAATATTAAAAATACATTAGCATATATATTTTTTTTTTATAACCAGTTAAAGTTCAAATTTTGACAAAATGTATTAAATTTAAAATTTAAAAATTCTTTAGTTTTTAAAAAATTATAAAATGTTTATTTTTTTATAGCTAAGGATTGAAAATTTAAAACAAGGTTCCACGTAAGTAGTTTATTCTGCTCCAAAAAAAATCTAAAAACTATACAAATACGATTTTTTTTATAGTTTTTTAAATTAAAATTTGAATGAAATTCAATTTTCAATAAACAATGTTATAACAAAATTATAACAATGTTAGTTACATTGTTATAATTTAAAAATATTATTTGTGGTTACTTAACATTTCTAGAGTATACCTACTTTATATTATAATATTAATAGTTAATATTAATAACTTATATTAATTCTTAATAATAAATTGTATAAATGACTGTTTGCATAATGAATCTGATTTGATTAATTTGGAATTTATTTCATAGGCACTTACATTTTTTTTTTTTTTTTGGAAACAATGACAATATAATTAGTATAGTATTAGTATAACATATCTTAGACTGACAAACCACCCCCACTCGGAATCGTTTTTCATACACAATGATAAATCATTGAATTCAAATTTAATACAATCCATTACAGTAACCCACTTATCAACTATACTGTTCAGCAGAGCGACATCCATGAACTCGTTTTTTTTTTAAATTTAGTTTTACAGCATTAATAGTGAGTCATGATTTTAAGTTCAACAATTCTTATAGCCAATGTATTAATATAATTAATTGCATTTAATGGTCTACACAAAATTTTATATTTTGTTATAAATTATAATTATTCAGAAAAGAAAAATAATTATTTTTATATTTTTAAAAATATTTAACACATTTGTGATAAATGTATTACTCTATATTATGCATATWTCTATTGTCTGGTTWTTATTTGTTAATTATTTTAGGTGATGGAATCACATTATATAACGCATCTTCAAACTGGACGTAATGTAAATGTCTTGCCAAATACAAATTTACCTTTGAATATTCCATTAGTCGAATTTCAATCTCCCAAAAATTTTACGATTAAAGATCAACATTTATTAAAACCACCACAAGTTATGGGAGAAAGTAATAGCATGTAAAATAAGTTATTACCAAAAATGTATTTTACACATTATTTTTAGATAACAACTTTGGTAGGCGTGCGTCAGATGGTGGAGCAAATTTACAAATATCACAAAAAATGAGTTGTACATTTAGTGAACCAAGCAGCAAGGAAGATTTAAAAAAAGTAAATTATTACCTCAAATGATATTTATAACAATTATATTATATTCGGATGTTAAAAAWTTTTTTTTCAAAATAATGATTTATTGCTTTTAAACAATAAACTAAGTTATTATGATGATCAAGCTTATTACTAATATCCATTCAATGATTTTTTTGATTTTGTTAATAGCAAGTGAAAATTGATCCTAATGATTTAAGAAATGCAATAATTGATCAATCAAGTAAAGGAAACTTATTGTCTGAAGATAATGTTGCATCTGCTAGTTCTAGGTACTTAATAATAAAAGATTTGTTTTTTTTTTTTTTAATTTTCTAAACTGTATAATTATGTTAAAATTTATTGCACAAATATTTACAGCCGTTATACTAAAGTAATGTGCAATACTTCTAGACTTGGGATGGGTAATAAAGAAGAAGTTCAGTCCCAACAAACCAGTTTACAAAATACACGAACTAGACGAAGTGGAGTATCAACTGTAATGGATAGACCCCCAGGTATATTATTTTTAATAAAATATTATTTTCATTCTTTAAGTGCTTGAGACCTGAAATTTGAGTTTTACTTAATTTTGTATTACTCTGCCAGAACATGACACCATTGTTGTAAGTATTTTTTGATATAATTTAAATTAAATCAATTATAATAATTTTCTTTCAAAATCATAAATTCTTTTTTTTTTTATAATATATTAAAATTAAGTATAAATAAACTTAAATTATAATTTCAAATTTAAAAATAAACTTAAGAAGAATTCTAAAATTTGAACTATTTAAAGGTTGTCCTATTTATTTGCTTCATGTAATAACTTCTAGATTATAAAAATGTATAAACAATGCAGTCCTTAATTTTGCAACCAAATAATTTTAAAAAGGAGTTAAGTAAATAGTATGTTACTTATTACATCATCTTTTGAGTTTTTAATAGTATTTGGTTAAATTATATTTAGTTATTTGTTACTTTCTGTATGAAGTTTTAAATTATATCATAATATTCTGTTTGTCTTTGTGTGTGTGTTTTAAATGCATTATTACCTTTWTATTACTTTTATTAGATAGATATTAAATAGTATTGTAAATTTGTTTTCTGTATGTGTAGTGCAGTTGTAGTTTGTATTATTATTATTTTATTTTAATAGCTAACAAATTTTAAAATTTATTTTTCTTAAGAGGGTGCAACAGTTACATTTGTGTACTATTGATAATATTCATCATTATTCATTACACTTTCAATTGTAAACTTAATTCTTTATTAAATATTTTTTTTTTTTTCATAAAATTTATTTTTGAACCTATACAAAGTATATAATATATGTATGTATACAGAAGTTAAAATTGATATATGAAAAAAAATGCCTAACTTAATTAAATTAGTTTTAACATTTATTTTAGTTTCAATACAATTATGAAGGAAGCCAAATATTTTGGAAAATATTTTAAAATTCGTAAATAATGTATTGAAAATTTTTATTAATTATTCTCAAATTTAAATTTTTWAATTTTATCAGAATATTCTATATCAATAAATCTAATTGAGAACTGTTACTGTTAATCCCTCTTTATTAGTAGTTTGTTTTTTTCCATTGCTTATTTTTTTTTCAAAGTCATTAGTCCTGAAGTGGTACGTGAAGTAGAAGCACGTATGAATCGAGAGTATGTACCACCACCATTACCAATGGTCAGCACTTCTAGACATACTCACCGTATATCTCAGGTTTCAGTTTTACCAACAGTACAAGAACTGCATAGACATTCAGGTATCATGGTATTTTTTTTTTAGGAATACCTAGCATCTGTGGACTTAATTTTGTATATTATTTACTAATTTTAATTATTTATTAGAATTTTTTCTATATTATTTGATTAGGTCGAGAAAGTTTAAAAGATGTTAGTGGATATTTGCCATCTGAACGATATAGTCCAGTACGAAGAACAAGTGAACCAGTTGTCACATCTAGTGAACATCTAGAGCAGCCTAATATACGTAATATCCAACAGGAACATATTCAACTTCAAGTAAAATTGACTTATCGGTGTTATAATCCAAAGTTATTTATTAATCTGTTCTTTTATAACAGCAAAAAATGTGTGAAAATACATTGGATACTTGGGATCATGCTGAATTACAAATGCTTCATACATATCATTTACAAAGTCTGCAGACATTAGTAGATCATAATTCATTTATTAATGCAACTTCTAATCATCAGGGTATTACATAAATCCCTTATACTTAAATGCTGTCGATAACCATTAATTCTTAACTAGAAAAAATCTTTTTTTTCAGGTAATTCAAATATTCTTAGTCAACATTTGCAAAATTTGAATTTACATCAAACACCTTTAGTTAATGTTCCACAAACTCAAGGTATGAACTTTCAGTACTTTTAATATTTAAAATTCTTTAAATTCCAGATAAATAATATTATAAAATATTGAAACGCTTAAACCAATATTTTTTAATGGCAGCTTTAGTGCTTTCCATCATTTTATTCTAACAATTTCTTCTAATTATTATCCTATGCATTATATATTTTCAATATATTAACCAATTTAAGAGCGTTATCAAGAGCAAATGATAGCCTTTTGAACAGGTTGCCTATAGTTACACAGTATACAAATCAGACATTATTGGGTTTTGTGAACATTGTTAGTAGAAATRTTCCGGGCAGAAAATTTGTTATAAACCTGGTATCGAGTACTGGCTGAGTAAAATTTTTAATACTTGCTGAGTATCGAGTATTGGCCGAGTAAAAATTTGAATACCAACCTGGTATTGAGTATTGGCCGAATAGAAATATAAACACAAAATAGTTACTATACTACAGCAAGGCACTACCAATTAATGATTGAGAAATTAATAATTTACTATTATTTATATATAAACTGTACACAWGGGATTTATTTTTGTAATTTATATAAGGACAACATTATTTGTTTACAATAAATTGGGTATTGTATATCGGTTCAGTTATTCCAATATGAACCAAAATAAATTATAATTTATTAATCTAAAATTTTAAATTTTTCCCGTTAAATTAATCATAGGTATGAATATATTTTGTATGTACAAATTATCTGTGTTTGCTAGTTACCGGATATGTATTGAGTAAAAATTTAGTATATAACCGGGTAAAAATGTAGATATTACGCCGGGTAAAAATATAGGTATTACGTAGGGTACTGAATAAGAGACTTAAATATGATATCAAGTACCCTGCCATCGAATAATTGCCGAGCACCCGGAACATCTCTAATTGTTAGTTTCTGGGATTTAGGTTAAATAGTTATTAATCCATATATTAGCTTGAAGTAAAAATAAATTACAGGATAAATACAAAATAAAATAGAAAGCTTAGTATTTTTAGTACTAATTTTGTGGATCATCAAAGTATAGATACCTGTGAATTATATTTAATGTAATTTATTATTTTCCATGATTACWGATGAAAGTATATTATACAATTATAATTAATTTAGTTTTCATAATTTTATAACTTTAGATGTTTGGAAAAGATTAATATTTCAAATCGATTTTAATTCAAAATAACATATAAAATTTATTTAAATAATGTCTATAACTAAATTGTTGAACCTTAAATCCACAATAAAAAAGTTGACATAAATTATTTTTCAGAAAACAAYGTTGTATTTTGTTTTATTTTATAGGTTCAATTACTCAAGGTACACCAAATATAATGTCCAATCATCAAATTCCAGTTCCATTGGACTTACGAACAAATAATAAAATAAATCCTCAACCCACAATTGTAGTAGAAGATAAAACAACAGGTTAGTGTTATTTATTATTTATGTGTTATTGTAGATACTACTTACATATATTTTCATCCTTCATATCAAACTATATGGATTGACCACCYAATACCACTGTACTTTTCCACAATCCATATTTATCTCATAATCAATATTCCAGACATAACCCTAACTAATTAAATAAATACCTTGTATGAAGTCTCGTTGCTTATTATCTTTTCTATAATTTTTTCCTACATTTTTTACAAATCCAATTTAAAAGGACGCTACATCTGCTTGGGTTGTCTCCATCTTATAAAATAAACAYAGACAAAATTGTATTTCACCAGAAAGAACTCTGAAGTCTCCAATCATAATTAAGAAACACAATTTTCACCACATAAAAATGAGAACTTTAGCTGTGAAATAGTGTTCTCAATTATATCAATTATGAGTAGWGTTAAGATGTTRATAATTTATTTCATATAATATATGAGCTTAAGTCGCTTAAGAGGACGCCACACCCGCATGTGTTGTCTTCGTCTTTTAAGTGCGTAACATGGCAAATTTTATGCTCAGCAGTTCCAATTKAGCTCCGCTAGTTTACAACTTAGAGTAAATTGACCTCTTATAAGAATTAAAGGTAACATTATTATCTAGGTTTTCACTGAGGCTTTTTATTATATTACAATTTTGAAGCGAGTTATGAGTATTTTAAGATATACAAGCAATTCACAGTTTAATTTATTATCTTATACCACCATAAAAATTGTAATAATTGATAGGTACCTAGTTAATATAATATAATATAATTTAATTAATATTTATTATATGTTTATATTATATAATAATTTTATAATTTGTTGTTTTTTTTTTTAATTAATAAAGGTTAGCTAATTTTTTTTTAAAGTGGACACCCAGTAAAATATCACTAAAAAATGCCATGCATTACACACTGAGTGGTTTTATCCTTAACAAAATAATTTTTGCTTTGTTGTATAATTTTAATACAGACACAACTCATGCCGGTGTATTGTCCTCTTAAATTGTAATATTTTTACACTTTTATATCTATCTTGCCTTTAAATATGTGTACCAAAATACTCTATCTACATTCCTCTGGAATTTTCTCCTCCCTTAACATCTTATTTAAAATTCCTGTTAACAATCTTATGGCCAAGTAACCTATATCGTTTTGCATCTTCTGAAATGCACTTAGTAATTCTTCTGTAATAACTAAGTATACCATACTCTTTTAATTTATTTTTCCATTTTAACTAGTCAGAACTTTTTAATCTATCGCCTTCATATATTATACATTCTAAAAATATACAAACATTATTGTTCTCCTATGATATTTTCTCCATAATAGACTTACAAATGTGATAAATATTAATAACAATAATAACAATAATTACACTTAGAGGTGAAAATAGATGAAATTCAAATATTTATTTTTAAATATCATTACATTTAAATACTTGAGGTACATAGAAACATAGAATGTTGAAATAGTGATGTATAAAATAATGGTTGGTTGTATTTAAAAAGTCTATGCCATTTTGTAATCATAAAACTACTATAGCCAACATTGTTTACTATTTGAAGTTTACATTTTAAAGCTTGTTTATGCAGTTATAATATATATATATAATATATATTATATATATTTGTTTACTTTATAGGATTCAATACACAAACATCTGTGATTTTGTAATGTGTACAATTAATTGCATTATTTCTTTTATCAATTATATTAATTTCTTAAAACAATTATAGTTTCATAGCCTAGTATTTAATTATAATGATGATATTACTTAAATATTGCTTATTTATTTATTTGCTTTTARTAGTTGGTGAAGAAAAACTTCTTCCAAATCCAGAAATATCACTTATGATAACTAATGAAGAAGGTGGTATGATGGAAGTAGACTCATTACTGACAAATTCTGTAAATTCTAGTAATACTTCACTAAAAAAGTCAAGTACTGATCAGCCACTTTCAGCTATACATGATGGTTATGAAGAAATCAATCATGTGACTGCTGATAGAAATAATATTATAGCTGATTTGGATTCTTCAACTTGTTTGAAAACGGCTCCACTTTTTTCTGACTATATTCTTAAAAGAACTGCTAGTGATGCATTTGTTGTAGACTTATCTGATTTCTATTCCAATTACACCTCTGGTAATATACTCAACATTGTCAAATATTTGATATCGTCCAACATTCGGGTATGGCCTGTGCTAGATAGACAAAATGTGTTGCAATTTCCAACAGGCCTTCAAATTGAACTGGAAGTGTGTTCAAACGACACAGGTGCCAATTCGTATTTAAAAATTCAACGACTCTCTGGAGATTCAACTGAGTACAATAACATTTGTCATAGGCTGGTGGAAGACTATTTACCTTGTAACGAATAATATTATTAATCATTATATTACTTTTAATCTTTTCATGGCTGTGCTACTTTTGTGAATGCAATTAATTAATATTAGTCATTAGTTTTAATAAGCATCTCTCGTTATTAGAATTTATACACAAAGACCTTAATCATGCAGTTGTGAATTATAACTAATCATCTTTATCTTATATGGACTGATTTCAATACAAATTATATTTTACCAAACTCTTTATTTGAGATTTTCATTTAATGATTATATTTTATAAATTTTTTAGTTAAATGTGCGTTTGTAAAATGGCAGCACAAAATGTATTCCATTTTTACTATTCCAATTACCATGTAATCAAATATATTAAATATTTAGCTAATAATATGTGAATACTGTTATTTTATATTCATTTCCAACTGTTAAAATAATTATATGATATTGTTAACTTGTTTTTTTTTCTTAATTTATACATATATGTCTTATAGCATCTGACATAAAAATAAATTCATATTAGAATAGTATATTTAATAGTTATAGCGTATATTTTTTTTAGGATAATTATTAATCAAGTCTTGATCAAAGCCGTATTATACTCGCAATAAATGTTATCAAATTTCATAAGTCAATCATTTTAAAAGTCTTAAATTAACCAAGGAGCTACTAAAACTTGTATATTATATTGTTATTTTATTTAATAATAAAAAAGAGTTTAAAATCTATTTGGTATTTTAAATTTTACTTTTGTGCTGTACAAATATTTTTAATATTCCAATATTGATTCGTTGGTATTTGTTTGTTATTACTTTTTTACTTTTTTATTGTGATCTTTTTGTTATATTGTATTTTTTTCACAGTCTACTGTAATCTGTGAACCAGGTTTTACCACCATTGGCTATTATTAATAACCTTACCTTATTTAACTTATAATTTAAATTGCTGTATAGTCTATATATACATTTATTTATATAAATATGAGCTCAATATCAATGTTGTGTACATGTTATTTGTTATTTTTATTATCATTATTATTATTATTACTTTKTGTGTGTGTATTACAATGTTATAAATTAAACACTAAACTTCTAAGCTCAATGTCAATATTGTGGACATGTTAATTTTTATTATCTATACATTCCAATATGTAAGTATAGAATATTGTGATAGACTAATCAAACGCTACATTTTATTTTATTTTTTTGTTTAATTTAAATGCATCTGGCAATGCACTTTTGTTTAAAAAAAATGTAAAAATTGTATGCCATTATTTATTTATATATATACATATAAAATGTATCATTATAATTTTAATATTAATATGTTTATAACCATATATTAAATGGAAGACAATATAAAAAAATAAGATGAACATTAATAATAGAATTATTCATTAACCATATTATGTTAGTATCTTTCTTTTTTTATTATTTTACTGAATACAAATAAAATTTTCACGTACTAGAAAATGAAATGTAAAAAACAAAATTTGATCATCATCTGAATAGCATCAATAATTCACTAGAGCATATAATATGCATTACATAAGTAAATAAATATATAAATTGTACAACAAAGTAATTAATTTCAAATGGTTTCCATTTRAGATGTTTAGTTTTAATTTTCTTAGTTGCTTCTATTAGTGTCTTCTCAATTAAATAGGATACAATATTTTACCCGTGCAAACACGTTTTGTCAATGTTATCCAAGATACTGAGGGTGGTCGTTCAACCAAATCTGGAAAATAATGTTTCACAGTGGCCCACCATGAATCCGCCACAATTGTCGTGTTCAAAACCACTGTATTCGACTTCTCATTTCTGACTATGTTCATTTTTATTATACCTTTTAGGAATATTAATTTTTTTTATAATGTTTTAATGTCGTTCTGACTACGTTCATAATTATTATTTTTTTTTTTTCAAGATCAATAGGCCATACATTAATGTATGAATAAAACACTTACCAGCAGAACTGCTTGGCTTAACAAACCATATCAACGTTGTGTACACAGGAAGAACTTGCAACACATACCTCAGTCGTATCAATATCCCTTTTGYCATTACCATTATTGTTCGCATCTATAAAAACATATAAAATAAATAAATAAAAAGGGTCATTATCTCAATATTAATAAACAATGTTGTGTTTTACGTACAACTACAAATACAATATAGTAGATCAAAGTTGTCGGTAATAGAAATAACAATATTGCAAATGATATAGTTCCGACATACAACTGTTGTGTGGTGTAAGGTGTGATCCTCCCTGGTTGTGGATTACAACTTCTTCCCACAAAAAGTTTTGCCAGAATCATGAGACTCTTACGTTGCAAGTTATACAGCCTATTAACCGTTCATGTTTCAGTTTATGATTTTTGTTATGTACATATTGTAATTTAATAATTGTTTTACATATAGTTATACAAGGAAATTATGTTGGCTTAATGTTAAACATTGTTAAAATAAAATTTTGTAATTTGGGATAAAAACACTATCTCGTATAGAGATAGAGATTTAACCTACTAGTATAATAAGAAACATTATTCACCAAATTAATAATAATATGATGGAAATATTTATGACTATATTATTATGTTTATGTAAAATTAAAAAATTAAATAAGTTTTATTCACAAAGAACATTTAACTTTTAAACATAAGTGATATTTAACCAGCAAACCAATGACCACATTGTTATAAATTATTTTATCCTTGAAACCAATTGTACGTTTTTTTTAATTGAATAAATTTAACTATAACCAACTTATTACCACCATCCACAACTAACGATGTGTTAATTTTAATTTTTAATTAACCATCATAAGTAACCCCTCCGATTCCTATCAGGTACTTTTTTTTGTGTAATAATTGTGATCTGAAATACTGAAATAAAGATGTTCATAATTTTAATACAATTTAATTGAATATTTTTAACTAAAATAAACACTAGATAAGTTATAAACTTGTTTTATAACCATTTCAAGTCTCAATTACTTATACATATTTTACGAAGTTAATTAAAAAAATCTTTACAAAAAATTGCTATATGAACACCTATTATTTAATTGCGATAATGTGGCAGATATTTTATTCAAATGATAGTTTTTAAATTATGAAGTTTGTATAGGTTTTTGATACTGACCATTGATTTCACCAAAATTTGTATTATTTACTATTTCATATTTATAGATATTTGTCAAGAATTTACAGATTGTGTAGTTCATAGATCCATTATTATTTTTTATCAAATAGATCTTCTGACTCATACGCAGATCATGCCACAACAATATAAGAAATAGTAAATAATAAGTTTGTTGACATTATATATAGTATAAGTAGATATTTTTATTCCTTTTCATCTTTTTATTTGTTAAAATGTATTTCCAATATAATATTATTTATTTTTGCATTTAATGGTAATGAATTGATTGGACATATTTTTTAATAAAAATCAATACATCAAACAGTTTGTTTGATTTTTGGATTGAAGAGAGTCCCCTAACTAGTAAGTAATAACTATGTCACTATTAGAGTGGACACTTTAAAAATATATATTCTGATGACCTTTTGGAATGAGTTTGGGGTAGTAATGTAGGCTTGTGATCAAATTATTTTGTGACATACAATTGAAGTTATCTTTTTAAAGACCTCTATTTAATTATGTGTTTACTTGATAAAAGGAAATATTATAAATGAAACAAATCATATTAAAATATCAATGACTGCAGCAATTGTTCAGTTATTTAAATTTGTCATAAATTTGAATTTTTTTATGGTTGAATATCTATTTAATATTAAAATAACTATAATACACAATTTTCTAAATTTCTAAAGTAATGGATTGTATAATACCTAGGTTATAGTAGAAGTTTGAAAAATTTTCATCATAAATGCCTTCATTAATGGTATCAAATAAAGAAATAATTACGCAAATGTGCAAAAAAATAAATCAATAATAATGTGATAATAATTTATTTCATTCAGTATGCCATCAGTTAAAATTAGTATATGTTTTTGTAACAACATCTAGTAAAAGCAAAGAGAAGGTTACAAAGAAAATTATCACTCCTATATTTTATTTTTTATTAAAAACAATTAAAATTTAAAAAATTCTTATTAGCTTAATTTATCAGAAGATAAGACAGTATAATAATGTATACTAAATAAACCATTCTCTAAGAATCTAAGAYAGTTGTGACATGGCATTAATTTTTAATTTTACTATTTTATGTTTTTGTTAATTAATATTAGTAGCCGCAGGCCACAAAAAATTGTGTTTGACATCTTGACTTAAAGCATAATATTGAACAATAAATTTTAAATACAATAGATTTAATTGTTTTACCATGGAGTCAAGAAGTTGAAAATTGTGGAAAACAAGGGCTCACAAAAAAGTCACTATTTTTTAAACAAATTAGTACTATGAGTACTCTCAGCTTATTTAAGGTATATGACATAGGCAGTAGAAAAAATAAAACTTAATTTTTAGCTACTCAAATACCACACCCAGACCAAGTAATAAATAAATAAATTAAATTTAAATTAAATTGAATAATAAAACCAATGATTATTCTCCCTGTTAATGATAATCTTTTACTATATTCTACAGTTTCAATTAGAGCTGCACAAAATAATTTTGTTATTTTTAAAAATACAAAAAAAAAAGACCTCACCATGCTGCATACACATAAATGCAATAAATATGAAAACTGACAATTGCCAATACATCTTCTATGATTGCTATTTGATAAGATAATCCAAAAATTCCAATAAAAACATAAACTTGAAAGGTCAACTCCAAGAATGGGCGACATAATACTGTAAACATATACAAGTTTGATTATATATTTACTTTTTAATTTGTATTTTGTATTTTGATTTATAATAAAGTAATAGTTATAAATCCTTCAGCTTAGAACTTATTGCTTACTATATTAAATAATTAGAATTACAATGTAATAGTAAATTAAATCAAAAATGAATGTAATTCCTAATCATTATTTATTTAAACATGAATGGAACATAAAGATAAACATAATGTGTATATAATAAGTCAATTTTATTTTTTTTATTTCATAATAAAAGTTATTGTTGTTTAAATCAAGAATAAATTGATACATTAATCTTTATTACTCGATATAAGTAGTTAATATATAATTTACATTTTAAATAATAAAAATGTTTTCTTATTCATTTATCATTATACTTAATGTTTGATTAGTAATTACTAGGGCTCAGATATTATTGYGTTTATAACTTTTTTTTTCTTTGTTTGGATTTGTAACTAAGTAGGTTTTAGATTAATTTTAATCAAGAAAAATTTTATTCAACAAATTTTATCACAAATTTTAGCATTTTTTAAATTCAATTACTATTTTATAGATTTATCTATAGAACAATTTTAGATGCTCTC